AGCGTAAAATGAAACTATAGATGTTTTTGTATCGTCATCTGATATATATCGTTACATCGAGCAGCCCTAGTTAATAATGTGATTAACAAAATACAAACTAACACCTGAAACATGTCAGTGGAAACCAGTTTGTCTTATGCTGAGCTGAGGATGTCAGCAGCTCTCAGCTCCCACGCCAGCTGGTCGAAGTTTGCATTGCAAACATGGTGCCAACCAAACTAAACCAATCATACTCATGTCATGCTAGCTGCCTTCATCTGACAAGACCTGCAGTCAGCAAAAAGATGGACTGACAGGAGGCACGGAGGCTGTTTTTGCAGAAATGTTGATTTGCTCTGTAGTTTTAGCTCGGCCTCTAGATGATGATACAAAATAACATTTTTGTTATGGACTTTCAAATGTTGCTTTATGGCAGAATTATTAATTATTGGATATAATTACATATATTTGCCTCATTCAAAGTGCTCATTTGCAGCCGTTTCCAGGCTTATGTACACTCGGTCATATACATCATATACTGCCACAGATGCTGATATGCTTAAAAAGAACTTGAATAGGGGATTTCCACTTTATATGAAGCAAACACATCATGATCTCATGGTGAAACCAGTGTTTTATAAACACCCTGCTCATATATTCCTTTTCTCTCCCATCACCTTTGTTATGTTCTTGCTTAATCGCCCTTCTGGCACAAAACGGGCTTTTTAACAAAGCTGTTGCTTCACGAGCTGCGTATTTACCTCCACACAGTGTGTCACTTCAAAGGGGGAATGTGATCTGAAAGCACTTTAAATCCCAAATTCCTGCTAATCCTTTACACAAATCAACCGATTGTTGGTCGTTTCCAGTGACTCATAATACTTTGTGTCTTTACAACTCATTCTCGCAGCTTCCTACATCTCCCATCTGCCTGAGCTACACTGGCCTGAATTTGACCCAAACAAAGTTTCACAACAGAGAGAGCGTTTTAAAGAGTCATGCTACATTGCAACGCGCCATCTCTCGGCTTGCTTGTCAAATCATGGAAAATGTAGCTTTAGCTTTCCCCTGTAAGCGAAAGCATAAATCATCTCAATTTTGCATGTTGGCATGCTGACCCCGTCTGACCGAAGAGTCCGCTGTGCAGAGTAGACCACCGTTTGAACCCCCACCACCATGTGTTATTGATAAAACGTAGTTCTGAACAGAGACTTGTGATGGTGGGTGCTGTGAACTGCAACGTAATATCTTTTCTGATTTTATGTACAATAAGAAAACAGATGCTTATTTAACCTCCTAGGACCATCCACACATGTGGACGTCACATTTTGGGACGTCTAGGCCAAAATACTTAATTTCTCTCTACAAGGGCCTGACATCCACTTACGAGGACATCATGCTGCCACTGTTCTATCAAAATTTGAAACAAATGTCCTCATATGTGGATCTCATTTTTCTCAGAAACAAAAATTAGGTAAAAATCTGGTGATGCTTTGTTTTTACATTCTTTAGGTCCCAATCAGCCCAAATAGCAAAGACACATTCAAAATGCTGCCATGAAAGAGTTCGGGTCGTAGGAGGTTAAGGGAAAAACAACAACCTTCTTTGCAGGAGCATGGTTACAAAAGGCTCAGTGCTGGTCATTTCTAACCCACAGAGACGGTGTACCTGTTTGGAGGCTGGGATGGGACGCAGGATTTGGCAGACTTCTGGGCCTACAGTGTGCAGGAGAACCAGTGGGCCTGCATCTCCAGAGATACAGAGAAAGAGGTGATCAAACACTCACCAGTGTCTTCTGATTGTTTTTGACTAGAAAAGAAAAATCACTGTCTGTGCATGTTAGACACACGTGTAAGCATGTCTCCTGTGTAACAGAGTGGTCCGAGTGCTCGCTCATGCCACAAGATGTGCATCGACTCACAGCGGCGACAGATCTACACGCTGGGCCGTTACCTGGACTCCAGTGTCAGGAACAGCAAGTCGCTGAAGAGCGATTTTTACCGCTATGACATAGACGCCAACACCTGGACGCTACTAAGCGAGGATACGTCGGCCGACGGAGGGCCAAAGTTGGTGTTTGACCACCAGGTAGCTGCAAAGGCAAAACGATCTCTTACACTCCACTTTCCCTCCATATTCAACATCCCTGTCCCGTCCATTCACCGTTCTTCCTCTGTAGATGTCGTAAACCTTTAAGCCGTCCTCCTCCTCCTCTGTCTGCCGATAACTCGACCTGACCTGTCCCTCTGAGTTAATCATTATCAGTCCTGTTCCTTCCTGTCACTTCCAAAAACAAAAATCTTCAACTGTGTCACCTCCAGCTGCTTTTTGTTAGTGCCTCCGTCTCCAAAGCAAACATCATAACAGGTCTCACCATCGTCTTGGGCACCTTCCCTTTGACTCTTGCTGCTAACCTTCTGTCACACATCAGACCTGACACTCAGCTCCACTCACCCCCGTCAGCTGCTTAGTTGACTCCAGTTCTTTAAATACGTGTACTCACTGCATCTTCCTCGTGTTTGTCCATTGTGTCCGAACACTGTCGGACACAACAGGGGCCTCCACTCCTGAACCAACAGGAGGTGAGATGGAGGGGCGGTGTCTGAACCTGGCTTAAGTTTACCAGCTCAAGGAGAAGCCTTACCTTAGCTGATTAGGAAATCTTTAGTTTTAGCTCTAAATGTCTTTAATTTTTGTTCACACATTTTAAAACATTTCCAACCTTCATGTACGTGGAGTAAAAGTATGTTTGCACTAGGTGTTCACCCCGTGACGTATAGATAAATACAACTCTTGTATTCGGTGCATCGTTTCCTTGCGTACGAGACAAAAGGATTCAAAAATGTTTTCATCAAACCTGCACATAAATAAAGACCACAGGGGGAAAGGGTAGGTGCACCTTGTGTAGTTTCCTTGTGTATGTCAGATAAAGGAAAGTGGCACAGCTAATGTTAAATATACATTGGTTTCATTTCACTGCTGCGTTGGTTTGAAAGGGCTTAGTCTTGCTGCCACTTTTAGCTCCAGCAGAAGTCAACTTCAGACCTGGCTAAGCCCAAGCTGAAAAACACGAGCAGCTCTTTGTGGTCATACTCTGTAGCTGCTGCTGGCGTTCATGTTTGTTTGATCGACAAAGCTGTGACGCACACGTGACCTCACAGCAACAGTGGAGACTTGTCTGTGCTGTGCCCTCCTCACTCTTTGAGAGGCAGCGTTTAGATGCTGCAGCTTAACTATGTTTAACATCATCCAAAAGATGTCACCTTAGGGTTGGGGTGAAACTAAGGCAGATGTTTGTCACTTTGGACCAGGGCTGTTGCTGGCGACCAAGAAACGTTCAGGCATCAAGTTAAACTTGCAAACCAAGAGCATTTTAAACCATTTTCCACATTCTTGCTGCTTCACAGCGCAGCATCCTGCATTATCAACATCACATGTTCTACTAAAATATGATATGAAAGTGTGTTACTACAGAAGAGCTTAACTTATTATTAAAATATACCAAATATAGATCTGAATTAGGGCTGAACGATTATGGAAAATAATCTAATTGCGATTTTTTTGCCCCAATATTGCGATTGCGATGCGATATGCGATTATTTTTTAAGGTCTTTGTCTTCTGTATTATTAAACAAAGACAAGCAATACATCTTATAGTATGGCCAATACTATATTACATTAATTTTA